ACTATCTTCGGCACTAAGGTTAGTAAGAATGAGAAAATATAAGATTGTAATGTCTGTATAGTGCGCCCCCCCCCCACACACACACACACGGGGTTAAAAACCCTTTATAACAATTCGTCTACAAATCAGTGCTTTAATAATGCTGGTGCAATTTTTGGATAAAGTCACCTTTTCACATCTACTGAATGGCCACGTGATCAGTGGTAAGAGGTAGTGACGCGTTAATATTACGCATCTTACGTTAGCAGCATTTGGGGTGGCGTAGGCCGGGAAATTAGCGGCTCCTTGAGACGGAACCAAGTGAAGCTGCTCCTGGGCTCCCCTAATCTTATCGAACAGCGAGAACAAGACGATTTCGCCGAGGCGAGCAAACTACACGAGCGTTTTCGGACGATTTGAGCTCGCACCGACAAATTTCGTCTCTCGACCTTCCAATTTTCTTGCCCCGAGTTCCCTTGGAATGCAAAGAGAGAGAGAAAGAGAGAGAGAGAGAGCGAGAGAGAGAGATAGAGAGAGAGATAGAGAGAGATAAGACACCAGCTTCGAATTTCGGGGACTTTCCGTGTTCTCGGAATCATCGAATGGCTGTGCGAAGCTAAAGACCCCCGAAAAATTGTCGCCTAAGTATATACATTTAACTTTGACCGAGTTATCATTATGTCGATTTGTCCTAGCATTTTCATTTTCACCGGTAATTGAGATTATTAAAAGTTATTAAGCATAAGAGAGACAGGCAATTAAATAAGCTGCACTTTTTTCTGCCTAAAACATAACAGGATAAACTCCTAATCTCATAATCTCTTATTTAACTTGACTTTTACAAAACAGCTGCACAACTACTGGCTATTTTTTATTTCTACTCTGCTCTGCTCTCTCTCTCTCTCTCTCTCTCTCTCTCTCTCTCTCCTGCTCCGGATTCTTCAAAAGTCAATCGAGATTATCGGGACTCTAATCCCGTCGGCGCGGCAGCTTCTCTGATCCGGCGAAGCCTTCGACTTTGAGAGTTTAAAGCAACTAACCCGCCGTCGTTTGTCTGTCTGCCTGTGTATGCGTGTGGTGGGGGGTGGGGTGGGGGGTTGCGTGGATGTGTGGATTTATCATGAAGTAACTGTAGAAAATTTCTTTTCGTTTCGAATTGGCCATCGGAAGATTATTCGTCGGAGGCTGGATAAAGCGATCGCGCAACCAAAATTTAATCGTCTTTCCATTGTGGTCCCTTGCTCGTTACTCGGCCTCCTGTTACCTTCTCGCTCTATTATCAAACCCTAAACTCGATTGACCGAATACATCTATTGATTACTGCCCCGTCCATCCGAGCGTTAATTTCAACATACGTTGTCATGGTTGAGAATTTCTTACGTGCATTCTCCTTACATTCGCGGCGAACTTCTTCCAGCGGTTCTAAAAATCAATTTAGCATATTATGGAATTACTTAATATTTTCTGATGAAGCAGTCTCGGATCTACCTTACATCATGCTCGAATTTACGATCAGCAATAACGCCTTCGTAAATTCGTCCAACTATGCTTTCGTTGAAAAAAAGGCCGGTGTCTCGGATCAAAGAGTCAAGATCTCAAAACCGAGGCTTATAGCGCCGTTATAATGCAAATTAGGGCTGGAAAAATTGCAGCAGTGCAATTCGACTCGGCGTATGAGGCGAAGCCAGCGTATGTCGACCTCATCCACAACAAAACAAAAATAATAAAATTAACAAATGAAAGAAAAGGAAAAACAAAACAAAGAAAATCAAAAAAAAATCAAAAAAAAATCAAAACAAAATCAAAACAAAAAAAGAAATCAAAAAAAAAAAAAAAATCAAAAAGGAAAACAAAAAGAAAAATTCAAAAAAAAATACAATAATAATCGTGGTGCTTAATATGGGGTCCGTAAGAATGACACGGGCTCGAAAAACTCTATTATATGACGTGCTCGAGGCCGGGACTTAGAGGATTAATCTTCATCCACCCCAAGTGCCATCAGTATCGCCGCCGCCGTCGCCGCTAGTGTCGTTGTCGTTGTCGTTGTCGTCGTCGTCGTCGTCGTCGTCGTCGTCGTCGTCGTCGTTGTCGTTGTCGTCGTCACTGTTGGAAATAAAGGAAAAGGGAAGAGAACCGAGCAGATTTTCACCTGGGCCCCGCGTACTTCCATATAATACAGCGGTACTTTCGTTGGCTCCCCCCTTCGCCACGGTTATCGTCGCTCCCTTGGATCGATTGAATGAGCCGAGAGAGAGAGAGAGAGAGAGAGAGAGAGAGAGAGAGAGAGAGAGAGAGAGAGTGTGTGTGTGTGAGTGAGAGAGGGAGGGTGTAGATGGGGTAGGGGGTAGGGGTTTGGGAAGGGAGACAAAGTGAGCAGAGTCGAAATAGACCGGAGCAGAGCTTTATAAGAACGTATAAAACCAGGGGAAGCCGAGCGGAAACGCCAACCAGGTCTTTATGTTGCTGCTCCAATGTATCTCCGCATGCCCAGTGTACGTATTTATTCTCTCGAGGCCGATCGACGCGACTTGGGTGACACTATTTTGGCCCGATTTCTTCCGACGCTATGATTTATAATACACGCGCGTTGGATGAACGTATAGAGGTATGGACGTATGGACGTATGGACGTATGGACGTATGGACGGATGGGCGGATGGGCGGATGGGCGGATGGGAGGATGAACGGACATAGGGACGAATGAGCCGACGGACAGTGCTGCTGCTGTCGCTGCTAAGATTCGATATATCGTCCGCTAAATACGCCTATTTATACTATTTTTTATTCATCCTTCAATTTTGTTGTTCAGACGGCACGCAATTTATCGAATGATCGATATGTTTCTTGGGACGGGCCTTTGTGCGAGCGTTAAAGCGGCTTTTACGGCCAATTTGAAAATCTAGTTGACGTACGAGAATGAAAAGCGGCGGGAAGCTGTTTTGTGAGTGAAGCGGATACGTCGACTTTTAAACGGTAAAAACATAATATCGAGCTTGTTTGGTCCAAACTTGTGAATGAATTATGTAGGCTTTTCATTTATACCTAATGATCGAATTTGTTGGGTTTCCCATTTTTATTATTGCATACCACGTAGCATATATTTTTATTTATATATTCTCATCGTGGAAATTGGATTTGACGCAGCTAGTCGTCTTGTAAGAAATTTAGTGCTGCACATGAGAAATCGAGGAAAACTGTCTACAATGTGTTTTGGTAATAGCATAATAAGCTTACTTCCAATATAATTTTTATATCCTGGGCTTTACGAAAATATTCATCTTAAAATTGAAATAAATTTTTAAAGCATAAATTTGCCCTTAAGCAGCAAAGAAAATCAATCGACTGTCGTTATGTTGAAAAAAAAATTTCATTTTAGATCTTATCTGTAAATTTTGAAAAACATAAAATTCCCAACCATGAAGTATCAAGTTTATATTCTCTTAATTACAGGCAATAAAATCAAATTGAAAAAAAAAAAAAAAAAACTCGAAACATTATGTATGCTTGATTTTATCTGGATATATTTCTTTTGACGGCAAATAATTTACAAAATTATCCATTATTGGGAAAATAATTGTAAAAATAAGAATTTTTATAATTTTCATCGATTCATTCGTTCGGTTGAATTAGAATTTCGTTTCACTCGTGGCCGAAAGCATATTTAATGCTGTATAATCCTTAAAGCAGTTAGTTACCTTCCAGTCGTCTTATATGAAAGCAAAAACCATTGAGAACCTCGGGCTTCATTTACCATAAAATTAATAATTAAATATAATTAGGGAGAATATTCAATTTGACGTTAATTAAAAATGGTTTCTTACGTGCACGTTGAGCGTTAGTAGCTTTAGAAATATTCGTTCGATCATTATTACCGTCATTTTCAACGATAAAAATGAATAAATACATTTCTCTTTCTATTGTCAATAAACGGTATATTCTTTCATTCATTCAATCAGCCACGATAAACGTAATTTCACACAATACATTGGATATACAGAATACATTTTTTTCTATATGCTTTGTGTGAGATGCGTAAATACGAGTTTGAATTTAAATAAAATTATGGACATCCAGGTGAACTTATACAATCGTTATATTTAAGCATTTGATTGATTATCTTAAAATCAGAACAATGTTTTTAATGGCATCGTTGGCCCAGTTTCATTGAATTTCATTAACAATTTAATTTTCTTTCGATCTTTGATGTAGCGAGTTTCCGAATAACAAGTAGAAAAATAAGATTCTGAATTGAACGAAAGATAATCTCCATTGGTAATTAAGGTCGGTTAGCGTATCATTATATTTAAAAATTTCTAGGATCATTTAATTATATACATGACTAACATTTATATATATATTTTTTTTATTTTTGATTTTTTTATGTGTGCATACACATTGGTTTTAGGAATAATTTGTTTTTAAAAATTTTCAACTGCGCGCTAATAAGAACACGTGTCAATTATAGATTATTCTCCCGAATTTCCCGAAAGCACACATGTTTTAAAACATTTATTAAGAAGAGCTAGCATTCGACAGGTGTACTTCAAGTATTTTAGCGCTTGGGATTCGTGATGTCGGTCTCAAGGCCCATAAATAAACAAATCACATCGTTTTTCGGCTTGACCAACATCATCACCAACCAGCACCTTAATTACCACCACCACCACCACCACCACCACCACCACCCCCACCCCCAAAGGCAATAGGTTGTTTCGAGTTTCAAATAAACAAATAATTGAATTACAACAAAAGTGTGTGCATTTATAATTTCTCAAAGGAAATTATCCTGCAGCGAAGGATGTGACAAATGAATTATTATTTTCTTCGCCTATGCTAAAGTTTGCCATTTTCTTTTTTTTTTCACGACACTCTTCCAAACAATTAATCACCACCACAAGCACTTCCGATTCGCGGGGCTTACAACGTACGATGATTACCATCGACTGACTGACATTGGCCATAGGTGCCCGGCGCCGGGTGAAAATCACTTTAAAGTGCTTAGAGATTAAGAGCTTGTCTCACCTTTAGGTGCCTGGGTACCCCTGCCAGCCGAGGACCAAAGGAATCAGCGACAAAGCAACACCGGGGCAGCCGAGCAGGACTGGATAAGGTGGTCTCATGGAGGGATGAAGGTCCCTCCAACAATTTGCCGGTAACAAGTCGGTCTGGTCGCAACGCGATTTCTATTCCCTCAGGGACCACACACTATTCCCGGCGATGCGAGCAACGTCATCGTCACCGCACAGACAATTATTATCTTACTTTTACGTACCGACTCGCGTTGGGGCCGAAGGGAGCGGGAGGGGTTGTGCACACGAGGAAGGAAAGGAGCACGCGCGACTCGAGGCCGAGACGAAGGACATACGAGCGACGTTCGACGGTGGCGCGGCACTAACTGAACTCTAATTCTGATACTCTGACAGCCGCGCCGTCGTGTGCCCCGGAGCAGCGGCAGCGGCGGCAGCGGCAGCGGCGGCAGCGGCGGTGGCGGCGGTGGCGGCGGTGGCGGCGGCGGCACAACAGGAGCTTGCTCCCACCCTTTGGTAGATCGGCGCGCGCCTAGAGTCGTTGATACGGCCGCCATCTACCGGTGCCGGGTGCCTTGTTCTCGGATGATTTTCTTGCTCCGATCGGTTCGCCACAAACGGTGTGCCTTTTCGCGCTCTTACGTCGCGCTTTTACGTACGAGGCGGAGTAGTGGACGGCTTGCCTGGTGGTAGGTGCCGCCGAGGGGGTGACTCGAACGGGAGGGAGAGACTCGGGTCCGCAATGCTTGGACGATGTTTTGTAAATCAATCTAATGGACCGTCCATTAGGCAGGTGTGCAATTTCGTTTGTTAAAGATCGTTAGGGCGATTGATTTGATCGATCGGGCTGATTTTGCCGCAAATTCTTATGGATTTACTTTTACAAAAGCCAATTGTATTGTTGTGCCAATTGTAATGTCGTTATAAAATAAAGTACGAATCGCAGAGCCGCTATCACTTGGCAGAAAATAAAAATTAATTTACTTTTCAATTCTATTTTAATTGCATGTTTTTTTTAAACTATGTCGATGCAGCTGTTGATGAGATATCGAACATTTAACAAAGTTTATTTATATCGTATTGTGGTGAAATTGAGAGAGCAGCGCTTTTTGCAGCAATCGAAATGCTTGAAATTGCTCATATCGAATGACAATATTATTATAAAAAAAAAAAAATTCGTTATGAATTCGTTATTTTTCGGCGGTTGTTACGCGTGTAGTTGCTTTGTCTTGCTTGATTAGACTGACACTCAACAAGCTTTGTTATTTTTTGAAAATTCAAAGTCTCATTAATTATATTGGCTTGGAATGTATGGCGGACAAATCGTTAAAGTGAATTAATTAATATTAATTAAGATAATTTTTCGTTATTATGTACATGTTATATGCTCGTACTCTTGATTCTGCATTGGCTTTACGAATAATTGTGCATAACATTATATCGAGACAATTCTTTGCATTTATTTAACGTTTTTTATCCTTGTTTCACTCGTTATGTTTAACTAAATTAATTGTATTAAGATTTTATTTATGTCTAAAGAGCCGTGTGCGAAGTAATAAAAATTATAAAAGTTATATTATATTTCAAATTTCCAAATCTCATAAAACGGAGATATAAAATTGTAATGACACTATGTGTACTACAAAAATTACACCTTAAAAAACATAAAATGTGACGAAAAGAAAGAAAGAAAGAAAGAAAGAAAGAAAGAAAGAAAGAAAAAATACAAACAAAAAAAAAAAAAAAAAAACAAAAAAAAAAAAAAAAATAAAAACAAAAAAAAAAGAAAAAAAAGATGATTGCTATAAAAATCTCATAATATACTTGTGGTGTTCTCTGGTATTTCATGGTTGGTTTTGCACGAAATAATTCAATATTCATTATTCTATCGATAAAATTGTTAAAGTACTTATAAAAATTACGTAGTTGTTGCATACTACTTATGGGAGGGAAATTTTTTCATTAGCTGTCGAATACCACAGATATCTAATATATAAATTCTTTTCTTTTCTTTTCTCTCACTAATGATTATGAAGAAATGTAATGAATAATGATTTACATGGTTAAGTTGAAAATCATTTTGAGGGAGTTATAATAATCATTTGTGTAATATCTCCATTCACATTAATTATAAAATTCATGGTAAATTAGTAATGGGATTTGCAAATCGTATAATAATACTATTTACTATTTTCGAGGTAAATTAAAACATTGCGATTGTAACAATGTGCATTGATTTTGCAATTGTCGATAAGCAGCAGTCCGAGTGTAATCAGAATTTAGGTAAAAAATTATTTAATAATAAGCTGACGTTACGGTAAACATACGCATTGCGTACAAATTAATTTGAATTTTCAACATATAAACAGCGTGTGGAAATCATAGCGCTTACATTTATTTGTTAAAATGTTCCGTTAAATGAAGTACAACGCACACTTCATACGCCATAATTGACGATCGAGTTTATGCTCTCAAAAGCAATCGGAATCCTTATATTTTCATGTATTTTATATTTATCGTATTATCGAATCGAGTTTGAAAAAAATTATGAAGAGGAGTTACGTAGGAGTATAACGAGAGTGAGAGATCCGTGTCCGATTAAATATCAGTGTCTTTCTATCGCAGTCAAACGAAAGACATCGATGATAGGTGAATTCGCGGCAAATGAAAATCAGATGAGACAAGGAGCATAGCCGTTTTGTAGTCTTCCGCAGGGCGTAGTAACACGGATTACAACAGATACGAGATGAAATGTTTAAATGGCCTCTGCCCAAGGATTCTCCCAACCAGACGCTCATCCTCGTCCTCACCCTGTCAAATGCAGCGACTATCCATACTGCGAGTACATTGTAAAATGATTGGAAAAAAAAAAGAGATAAAAAAAAAAATCGACGAGCAGTAAAGCCAAAAAAAGGAAAAAACAACAACAACAGCAACAACAACAACAGATATAAAACAAACAAAAAAAATAAATAAAAAAAAAAAAAAAAAAAGCGGAGGAAAGACGATGGGAAAAAGTGTGGTATGTAGTGTCGAGGGAAGCGTAGTTTGCAGCATTGAATACCCTCATCTACACTAGGGATTTTATTGATTTTAGCCCTCGACGGGGATTATAAAAGTGCATACCTGACTGACCGCGTGTTTTATAAGAGCGGAAAAGTGCGAAGGTAGAAGGAGCATAGGTCGTTTTGCTGGCCAGGGCACTTAATTATCCTCCTTCCCTCACACTTTGTACTATGTATTGGAGTGTAGCGCTGCTGGCTGTTAGACGCCGGTTTGTATTTTTATTTTCTCCCTTTCGAATTTCTTTCTCCCTCGACTCTGGAGTTGCGTTGTTTCAACTTGGCTTTGTTACTTGCCGTTTTCGACACTCTCACTCCCGTTAAGGCAGACTTACCGAAGCCATTACCATTTGACCAATTGTTATTACGCAGCGGTGAAGCGACGGCAAGACTATCCGGGAGCGGATAATTTTTCAACAGGAGTTTTCATACTCTTCGACACTCGCACATCCGATCCATCAAGATGTTCGTACGGATGTCGCTTGGGTACTTTCTTGCGTCGCTCTAGGATTTTGCAATATAACTTATTGGCGTTATTAGCTCTATCGATAATTGGGAAATTAACTGTAAAATTTACTGTGGCTAGGAGTAAGCGATCCTTGGCGCACGATACACGCGCACAAAATTATAATGCATTTACATGATTATGTAGGTACGTATGAAAACTATGCACTATTTTTATATTTATATGGATAGCGATTCGAGACACGATTGCACAACGCACTTTCGAAACAAACTGCGGAATTATAAGACTTCGTTTATGCTGCACTGATCGACTCAAGGGGCCAATCTTCAAAGGATTCCCAGTCGCTGTGTGCACACTAATAAGCGTTTATATTAAAAGATAAGCTAAGTAGTTTCGAGTTATCGAGTTGAAAATATTTTCCAATAATTCATCCGAAATACTTAATCCAACGATATTCCTTACTACTTACACCCGATTGATATTTGAGAAAATCAGTAAGCAATTGTTTATTAACAATATAATTATTACTTGTACAATTATTATAGTCATCTATAATGACTTATGTAATGGCAATTGTATTGGCAATGGCAATCGTTTATTGCGCTTTAAGTAGCGATTGACGATTATTCATTCAATATCTCAGATATGTTGGATTACGTTATTATTCAAAAAAATCACACGGACAAATGCCGATTGTAAAAATTTATTTTTACATACAATCTCGTACATACGATTCGGCAGATTTTACATTACGAGACATTACGAGAACATTGTACAATACAATATACGGGCATTAATTTAACGGACAATAATCAAATTAATAATGATAATTAATAATTACCGTAGCAGCAAATATGCAGCACATTTATTTTATGAAAAAAAAAGAAAGAAAAAAAAAAGAAAAAAAAGAAAATCTTAACCGTAATCGGAAACGGCTGTAAGTTCATATAACCTTTCAATCTCTTACATAATAATAATTATCGATCAAATTATTCTGCTACTAGTAGACAATATTTTACAATTTATTATCCAATGACGTTTATGAAAAGTTAACGTAATGTTAAATGTGATGTGGTAAAGAAAATAGCCAAGTTTTTACATTTATGTTGTTTTTTTTCTCTTCACCTTTTTCTCCTTTTCTTAAAAGACTGAACAAACTAAAATAATATTTTATTTAACACCTTTGTGTTGCATCGTATTTCGCAATATTAAATTGACATTGAATTTCTGCGATACATTACCTTTCTTTTTTTCAATTCTCAGCGACATTAGCATCAAATGCTGATTAAACCGAATGATTTATTACATTAAAAAAGAGAAATTATGCTTCACAAAATAACGTACGAAAGTAAAATTCATTCATAATTATACATGATAGAATACACATTATCAAAAGGGAATACTTGATGTAAGTTTGAAAAAGCTGAAAAAGGAAATTCCTATGCTTTTTAGCTCATAAGCTAACGACTTACGAATTCGCACTTCTCGATTATCAATTATCATACAAACAAACATACCTGATCGCACACGAAGTCTCATCGATATGAAAATAAGATGTAACGTAAAGAGAGAATTAAACAACAATAGTGATAAGGAGATTCGAGATAGTGATGGGTTTCCATTGTTTCTTTACATACTTCTGGCTTTCCTTTTTCTTCTCTATCTTTTTACATTTCTTTGACTGTGCCAGTAA